GAAGAGAGCCTCAGCCACTACTCACATAGAGGCCGATGGATTGAAAATGAGTGCCTCGAAATGCGTGGACGACAGCGGGCACGCAAGACCGAGGCAATCGGTCCTACAGCAAATTGCAAATATGGTTAAATGGCATATAGAATGCAACATGGACTTACAGCTAACATGAGAAAGCCTCAACCACACTCACATAAGAGGCCTGATGAATGAAAATGAAGTGCCTCGAAATGCGAGTACACCGGCAGCAGTCAAGACGAGCACAACCACACTGTCAAACTGCAGAGAGACTAACAATGCGAAGATAAACGAGTGACTAGAAATGGCATGTATAGAATTGCACATGGACTTTAAACTAACAATGAGAGAGCTCAGCCACACTCACTAAGAGGCGTGACATGAAAAGTGAGTGCTTGAAATGCGTGCACGACGGCACGCAAACCGAGACAATGGCAATACGCAATGAAGGATATGGCAAAATGGGCATATAGATGCAACATGGACTCTACACTAACATGAGAGCGCTCAGCCACACTCACATAAGAAGGCCGATGAATGAAAATGAAGGTCCTCGAAATGCGTGACACGGGCACGCAAACCGAGAAACAATCGGGCAATACGCAATGCAAATATGGCTAAATGGCATATAGAATGCAACTATGTGACTTACACTAACATGAGAGAGCCTCAGCCAACACTCCATAAAGGCCGAGAATGAAAATGAAGATGCCTCGAAATGCGCTGCACACGGGCCAACAGTGACAACCGAGAACAAAATGCCAAAAATGCGCATATGCATGGGAAATGATATGCAACATGGTAATAGAATTTAAGCACCGTGAAATGTTGGGCGGAAAAACAGCCCCAAAAAGAGGCGAAACACACCCGATGCAAGGAATGGTTCGAAACATGAATTCTTGGGACCGAATGGCCTATGGTATACGAAACGATGCACAATATGGACCACTCACCTCGAATAGACAGAGCAAGGAAGCCCCAAAATTAGCCATTTTACTCAGCACAAATCATGGCCAACACAGCAAGCAAAGATAGGGCAACAATGCATGCAAAATGG